CGCTCAAGGACTGTGTTCAGAAAGGGCTGAAAGCTTTTAATGTGTCTCCTACTGCCTCACTCCAGGGATAAATTCCCATGAAAGCGTCTAATCCTATTTGGGCATTTTTTACAGAGTCGTCACACATTGCGAATATCCTTTTTGCGGGATGCGGTCGGTGCTTTCCCGTGGCTCTCCCCGCCGCTTCCCACCCCAGCCCTCCCGCAGCGCCGGGATCCCACACTGCCCCACATCCCCGGTGACCTTCGGCAAGCCCCGTCCCTGCTCCCGGCTTTTAAGGGAAATAAGGATTTATTTGTTTATTTACTGGCTCCTCAGAGCTTATACGTTTATAGGGATGTACATGGTTTGTATGGATGTATAAGTTTTATACGGATGTACATGTTTTATAATTATGTGTATGAATTATAAGGATTTATATGTTTTATATGGATGTGCATGGTTTAAAGGGATGTGTATGTTTTATACGGATGTGTATGGTTTGTATGGATGCATCAATGCTACATTTTATGAGACCTGAAGTGTGTGCCTGCAGCTGGTTCGGGTAGCAGGGGGAACGCAAAACCCCATTTGTCACCCACTCTCTTTTGCAGTAAGCTGACACTGGAAGGGTCTATGTCCAGGAGGCTTATCATGGGGACAAATCTCACTCCTGATTTTTGGCTCAGCTTCGTCAGCACTGCTAAGTCCCATAAGACACTGTTGGTTCCTCAGGACGCTTCCAGGGCAACTGATCACTGGGAGATCCCATCTCGAGGGGGACAGGTTCCCTCTGCCTGCAGTTGCTCCCTTCCCTTCACACAGGAGACAAACTGTGTCCCAGGGAAGGATGGAGAGAACCCACACAAGAGGGAGTGTTGAAGCGTGCCCAGCCACACGCACATATTCATGTGCCAAAGAACCCGGGGTCATCTTGACATGAACACCCAACCTCAGAGCCTGGACAGGGAGCGTGAGAGATGCCTAGCACTGGAGCTCTCTCCAGACGTTGACATCTGCAGAAAGATTATTTATTGCATTGAAAAAATATTCATAAGTAGCCCAAAACTTGCACCTTGTAGAGAAGAGATCTGATTCAGTCCTAGCACTCTGGGGGGCTTCCAGCAGCGATTCCTGCTCCTGCTGAGAGCAGAGGGACTTCGGGCTGTGTCTATGTAAAGGGGGAGCTGCTGTTGAGAGGGGAGGAAGGAGACAGCAGAAAAAGCAGCATAGAAGATCGCAACTATAAGAAAGCACCCCTAAAACCATTCTATCCTCCATCCCTGGGGAGCGCTGGAGCTCCGTGCGGTGCACACTGGGCGATGAGTCGGGCTCCCCCGCATCACGTTGGCAAAAAAAGAACACCACACGGCACTTTCCCAGCACATTTTTGGGACGGCTAAGAGGTAGGGAGTTACTTTCATGCCGTACGGATGCCCATGGGGTTGTAGTAGAACAACTGAGGCTGCACCAGCCGGGAATCGAACCCGGGTCGCAAGAATGGGAATCTTGCATGATACCACTACACCACTGGTGCGCTGGGAGTGCTCCGTCCCGCCCGGTGCCAAGCCCGTGGGACCGACCCTGTCCCGTGTGTGCGTGGGGACAGCGCCAGCTCTTCCCTCTCTCCACCGCCTTCCAGCCGCCAGGACGTCCCGCAGCCGCGGGGTCCCTGCGGGTGGGTGACGCGTGGGAGTCAGGCGGGTGGTACCCCCCAGAAATCGAGCTGGGCCTGGGGCTGAGAGCAGCGCTTAATGCCATGCAGGAATGTCCCGATTCCCACAATGTTTAACCTCGGCCGGCGCAGGAGCCGAGTCCTTCGGCTCCAGGATGCTGCGCCAGGGATGGGGAGACCCACATCCAACTGCACAAAGGGTTCCGGGCAAGAGAGGATACGGGCCCCGTGTCAACCCCATCCCCTGCCCTGCCCGAAGAAATGCCTCTAAAAAAGAGGTTTATTTTGCCTAAAGTGATAGTGAGGGCCGGGACATAAGATATGACACCTGTCCTGAGAGGAAATGCTGAGAGAGCTGGGGATGTCCAGCCTGGAGAAGAGAATGCTCCAGGGAGAACTTAGAGCCCCTTCCAGTACCGAAAAGCGCTACAAGAGACCTGGAGAGGGATTTTGGACAGGGGCATGTCATGGTAGGACAAGGGGGATAGCTTCACCCTGCCAGAGGGCAAGGTTAGATTAGACATTAAGAAGAAATTCTTTTCTATGAGGGTGGTGAAGGCACTGGCACAGGTTGTCCAGAGAAGCTGTGGCTGCCCCATCCCTGGAAACATTCAAGACCAAGTTGGATGGGACTTGGAGCAACCTGGTCTAGTGAAAGGTGTCTGTGGTCATTGCAGGGTGGGTTGGACTAGGTGGTCTCTAAAGGTGCCTCCCAACCCAAACTCTTCTATGATCCTATAGGCAAAAGCTTTCATGTCTCTATTAGCCTCCCACGCTCCATAGGAGTCAGTGACGCAGAGTGATGTCCTACTCCAGGCACACTGCAACTCAGTGAGACATTGCCCTGTCCTAATGATGTCCCCACAGCCACCACACTCCCCCACACCAGGAAGGACAGGCAGGAGTCAAGCAAGTGCAACCCATCAGTAATGTTTCCTACTGGACAGCCACTCATAATCTTGCGGCAATGTTTAGCCAACACCGACGTCTACATTCCCCACCCTTCTGTTGGCCATAAACATCCTGAGTGCGTGGGTGCTCCTTGACCTTCTCCCTTGCTGCTGTGCTGACACCAAGGTGAGCAAGGGGTGCAGTAACACCAGGAAGGGTGTCACAGGGGTGTGAAGTCCCAGGCAGAACCATTTCTTGCACACCCTGGACTGTACCAGCAAAGCATTCCCTGGGCAGCAGGGGAGTGCAGTGAGCATTCTTTGAGGATTCTCATGCTCCATCCCCCTCGGGTGCCAGAGGGCAGCTTTCCCTCTGCTTTTTGGGCTTGGTGTTTGAAACAAAATGATCTTTAATCTCCCTTCCAACCCATACCATTCTATGATTCTATGAATTACGCTGTTCTGCCAGCAGGCATGTGCTGGGCCTCCTGGGGCCATGCCAGGCACAGGTAGCATCCAGCCCAGCTTTCCCAGAACAGGGTGAGGGACACTCAGCATCCCCATGCTGCTGGATCCACTGATGCTTTGTTCCAAATCCAGCTGTCCTGGGTAGGCTCAGCCACACAGGTCCTTACATTCCCAAGCAGTCAAAGGGCAGGTGGAGGTCATGGCTCCCACCAGAACTGGCATCTCCCTGTGTCATGAGCAGACTGTGGAAAGCCTCTGTGTTATCCCTGTTGTAGTGACAAACCAGGCTCAGATCCACCATCATGGTTTGAAACGAACTCTTATTATTCAGAGAAGGTTTGGAGACGGTGGGTGCCAGCGTGCAAAACCACCCACAGAACTGCAGCCATTGCCTGACCCAGCAGAGAGAGAAAATGTTGCCCAAAGCCACCACCTCAAGTGTCATCACCAGGGTTTCAGCTCAACTAAGTCCTCCCTGTGCCCCCACTGGTGCTGAAAGCAAGTCCTCATGCAGGAGATGGGGATAGCACAGTCTGTCACCTCCATCACTGCTCTTCCATGTGGAGACATGAAGGCTACCTGCTGCAGGAGACTCAGGATCTAATTTTAATTTCAGGGGAGCTTGAATAACTGGGAAAAAACTTTGAGGACATCTCTGCCCACTTGTGGTGAGCACATTCTTACCTACCTAAACTTGATCGTGTTCCAAGGAGCAAAACTAATTCTTTCTCATCACAAGCAGAGTATTTAGCCTGGATCCTGTCCAGCCCAGCTTATCTGTGTCCACTCAAAAGACTCCAGCAAGGGGATCTTTGTCCCATCTGCTGTGAAATTCAGGATGTGGCAGTACCCCCCTCCAGTTCTGAGGGAATGACAGTCTCCTGAGCAGCTGGGTGGGCACAAGGGGTGCAGCATGGCACAGGGACCGACAGGAGCTTGGTCTCCGCCCTGCAGGCACTGTGCTTTCGGGGGCAGCCCCTTTTCTCCAGGTTGTGACATTTGCGTCCCCTCCATGAGATGAGTCCATGTCAAGTGCACAGTGTCTCTGGGAAATCAGTTTTCAGGCTCAAAAAGGCAGTCGTTCTCCTTGAGCAGAGCATCCGGTTCCTCCTGGAGCCCGTAATAGAGGTCATCCTCCTCCCCAGCTCCTTTGCTGGGGGATCCGGTTTGCTCTCGTGAAGCCGGAGCGGGTGGTGGATGGCAGGTTCCGACTCTGTGGCACGGGGCTGCCGGGCACGGAACCTGCCAGCGACGGCGTGTCCATCTCCTCCAGGAGGGATGCGAGCGGCGC